ATATATATATATATAAGATAAATTTGAGTTAGGGTTTCTGTGAGTAGAGTGAGATGAAAATAGATCTTAGTTGGCCTCTCAGCATAAAAACTGGATCTGTCCCATTCCCTTGTGAGTTTGTTACTCTTATTCCTCCTTCTTTTATGACTCAACAATTATTTTAATTTTTTTACTATTAAATTTTAAAATTTTTATATTGTGAAATTATGATTTTTTTTTATATTTTAAAGAAAGAAAATTAACATAAGACATTGCAGTATCTAATTTTTTAGGGTTTAGGATTTATGTCTCCATTAAGTTATTTTAAAAAAAAGGAAATATTGTTAAAATATTTTTTGGAATAATTTATATTTATAAATATTGTTCAAAAATTATCATATAATATATAACTAAAATACTTATATATATATATATAAATATATATTTTCTCTGTATCTAAATACTTCTATTTATATTAAAAATTTTATATATTTAAATATTTTTTCAGTATCGAATATATTGAGTTTTATATAAAAAATTATCTTATGTTTCTATATTTCCATTTTTAGATATTTTTTATAATGGTCAAGGTATTTGATCCTTCATCTTCAACATTACCTGTTAATGAAAATCATACTTTTGAGCTTATTATTCAAACTCATGAGCAAGAGCGAAAAAACGCTAATGCTTGGAAGACTAGTATATTTATGGATATGTGGGTGAATGTTATTTTAGAGGATATGATATTATAGAGAATAATAATAATAATAATAGAGGATATGATATTATCATTATTATTATTATAATTTATTTATTTATTTATTTAGACATGGTTGTTTTTTTTTTATTATTTTTGTCTTTAACTTTTTAAATTTGAATTTATGAAATTTTTTTTGAAATTTTATCATATGTCAAAAATGCACGAAAATTCTACAAAATTCACAAAGACCCGTAAAATTCATTAAAATCCTGATTTAAAAGTCTTGCAGAATCCTTCAAAATCTTAACAATCATAAAAATCCTACAAAGTCTTTTAAAATCCGCAGGATTTTTTTAACTAAAAAAGTCTTTTAAAATCCTAATCCAATACACTCTCCTAAATTTTGATCAAATAATTCTTAACTAAATTTTATTTATTTTTTGACAAATTAAATTAGTGTAAGATAAAATCTTATAACACTATTGCAAAACAAAAAAATAATAATTAGGTCCATGAATATAAGAAATAAGCAATAATTCTTGATTTTTTTTCAATATCTTTTAATTTGAAAATCGATTTGAGATCTAGTATTAATTTAATTTTGTATGTTTAATACCAAATTTATTTTCATAAAATTACTTTAAATTAGGTGTCTTGATCGTTTTCTTTTATACTTTTACATATGACTTCTCATTATTAAGACATTTTTTGTCCTAACACAATTGAAAGTCTCTACCATATCAACACAAAAACATACAAAGTTATACAAAAATTAATGATAAAGATTTAAAAAAATTGAATATATAAAGACTAAAGAGATCTATTTAAACTATAAGAATTAAAAATAATTAAAAAAGATAAATATAAGACTAAATAGGCCTATTTTAAACTATAGATACTTAAAAATAAAGTAAGTAAAATTATAACAACTAAAAACTATTTTAACTTTTTTTAATAAAGAATCTAGTCCCTACTTCACATCAGAGATAGGGATGACAAATATACTCGTACCCGCGGGTAATACTTGAACCCGTCCCGACTTTGACGGAGAATACCCGGTTTGACTGGATACGGGTACAGGTACGGATAAAATCCGATATATTAAATCGGGTACGAGTACGGGTATGTGTATGTACTTACCCGCCCCATACCCGTACCCGTCCCCGTCCTTGTTTCCATTTTTAATTTAATACCCACTTTCAATTTAATTATATTAAAGAATTTTAATATTTTTTTTATATGTGATTATTTATTATAGTATGAGATAGATAAATAACTTAATTATAATTATAATATAATAAAAAATAATTTAAAAATATCATATTTTTTTTACAAAAAATAAAAAATAAAAAAATTGACGGGTACAGATACGAGTACGGGTATACCCGATACTCGACGGGGACGGGAATGAGGATGAAAATCACATACCCGACGGGTACGGGTACGGGGACGGGGATAGATTTGACTTGCGGGGACGGGGACGGGTATCATGAAACCCGTACCCGCTCCGTCCCGTTGTCATCCCTAATCAGAGATCAAATAGATTTTTCATAATACAATAATTTTTTTCTTATTTTTTTTTTAGCCATATTATTTGTTTGAAATATCTATCAATTTTATTAATAATTATTCTATATAAGATAACATGAATAACTTTTGCAAAGTATTTTCCCTTGATCACATTTTTTTTAATTTACAAAAATTAAATATAAACATTACTCGAATCTAATTCTACTCAAATCAATAAAATTAGTTTTATCTTCTTCAACAAAATTTTCATTATACATATAAAAAAGACAAACTTCTACCCGCATGCTTGAAGAATTTAGCAATGTAGCAACTATATTGAACCTGGTTAGTTTTTATGAACCTTCATTCCTTTTACCTCCAAAGTCTCATTTCAAAACATATACTCAATTCGTTTGAATCCATTGTCGTCATAATTCTAATTTCTATAGAAAAAAGAAAAGAATTAATTCGTAAATGTCACCAGTTTTTTTTTTTTTTTTTTCCAATGGAATCTTAACCGTGTGGATATATATGATGCGGTTGTTTTTCTTATTGGATTATGTGGTACTATTAAAAAAATCATATTAAAATTTATTTTTAATTGACAGCAATAATTTACTATTGTATAAAAGATCAATTGCTTTTAATACATCTATTATAATTATTTGTGTACGTTTGATTCTCCAATAAATTTTTTTTGTTGAATTTAGACTTTTAAGTTTTTAAATAGTTACAATCAAGTCCTCCTATTAGATTTTCTCTATTTATAACCCTCTACTTTTTTTACTCAAAAAATTAGGAGTTTAAGATGAATTTGTCGTAAAAAAATGATTTAAAGGATTAATACAAAAGTAAAACAAACCTGATAAAAAAAATTAAAAAATTTATAAAATGTGAATTTATGACTTTGAAAAAGTCTGAGATTTTCTTATATTAGATTAAATATGATGTTTTTTTTTATAAAAAAAAAGGTCATGAATGATTTTAAATAATTTAATAATTGATGGAGATTTAGCGAAGAAAATGAAAATTTATGAAGTTTTAAAAGAAAATAATTGATAGAAGGACTTAATTGTTTTTTTTTTTGAGATTTGATTATGAGATTTTTTTTTATTTCATAGACGCAGTTCACATAATGTTTCAAAGTTAACAGCTTGATTAGTGAGTGAGTTCAAATGGATTCAGACCCAAAAAAACTAAATCGCAACAAATTGCAAGCCACTAGAATCAAACCCATCTCCATCTGAGTAAAACTTTAGGTTGTTCGAGTTTAGTTTAATTGGATAGTGGATTATTAGGGATGGGTTGAATCGGTTATGAACTTGATGTCTAAGCCACCCTTCGTCGGCACGATACCATTGTTGGTGCCACCTTCTCGCCCACCACTCCAACTATCATCTTGTAGAGTCTGATAGTGGATGTTTGTGATTCTCACGATGGGACACTAAGATCAGAGAGTTACAAAATTAATGAGATCAATCCATTTCAACTCAAAAATTGCTTATTTGAAGCAGACAATCCGAAAGTATTGATTTATGGTCGAATTATTCCGATTTCATATGGATGAAAAAAATTTGATCACCCCTATAATCAAATATTTAACACTTAGTTGATTATGAGAATTAATTAAGAAACTTAAAAAGTTAGATACTTATTAGAACCAAAATTATTTTTATTTATGTGTGAACCAAAAATATTTCTCAACTGCTAAGTTAAATTAATTCCTTTCAAATTATAGAGATTGTTAAAATGAGTTATAGCATTAATATTTTCAAAAAAATAAAAATAAAAACTCATCTATGATTTATCAACTTGCTATGTTGAACGGTGGACCAAAATTATATATTAACCATAGTTGAGATACTGCAAACAAATTAATTAAATTAGGCCTTTTATAATAATCCAACGTCTGAAGGAACTCTTGAAAGTTGTAACCATGGGGCCAAACCCAACTTCTTTAGCAACTTGATTTGGTTGCATTTCACAGCAGAAAAAAAAAAGGAATTAAATATGACTTCAAAACAAAATCATTTTATATGATTGGATATCATTGCGGGCTTTCAACTTTCAATCACCAAACACATCTCCAAAGCTTAATCCAGAAACTGAATTTAGCAACCCATTTGGTACTTTTAGCCAAAGACTTCTTCAAGATGTGCAAATCACAATTGTACAAACTACTGCTTCCAAAATACTTACATTTTACAGTTGATAAGACTATACGCTACAACAAGCCCCATAATTAGGGAAAGATCTATATTTGGCTCCACTACCATTGTGAAAACATCGTCTCCCAAATCAACTCCACAATGTGACTTCTTTCTCCTTAGCTGCTCATAGAAAACAAATAATAGGTGCAAATAAGAACTTTAATATGTTTTATGTACCAAGCTTTGCTAACATGAAGGTGCAAGAAATTTTACCTCTGTAACTACCACTCCTAGCTCGTTAGATATTTTGCAAGCTGAATTGCAAGTGCTGCTTTCTATTTTATGTGTATATGGTTGGCTTTTGTCCAATCCAAGTTCAACTTCATAGGTTGAACCCCCTCTAGAGATCTTATAAGTTTTAGAAACTCGAAAGAATGGTCCTTTGTGGTCATTTCTTGTTGCTGGGTATCTATAACCCTCCCAAAACCTGGACAACTTATATTGCTACATATGCATACACACAAAAGAAGAAAACTAAATTTTAGCTATTTTTATGTGAAAGGTCCAAATGAGACACTATAAAAGAATAGTAATGGTCATGTATGATAAATTTATTAATTTTTACTGCACTTACCTTACAAGTCATACCAATATAATTTCTGACTATTTACCCAGTAAAGATATACAAATAAAACTCTTAACTTATAGCTAGGATGCTTTGACATGCAATCAGTTGTGAAACTTGGTTACCTTTTTGAGCATAGTAAACAAAATATCGCCATTTTGATCCATGAGATGAACTTCATCTCTATGCCTGCAGTTGTAGTTATCAACTCGGTATGCAATTTGGCCATTTGAATCAAAGACAGTACATCCCTTTCCATTCAGTACCAGAGATTTCATCCATAGGGTAAAAGTCTCTTGCTTGCAGGTAGTAGAGGATTGTAGTGCTTGGGGGTGAACCTTTCCCATGGTTGAAATTGTCTATGGCATATTAACAAATAAAAGGCTTTTATATACTAATGGGATATAATCAAATATAGCAACATGCAATTTTTTAATCATATCACAATATTAGTCGGTTAAAACTTAAAACATAAAATAAGAAATCGTACATTAATTATCTTTATATATATATGGCAATTAGTGGTGTGAGATGAAGGCAAAACATACATGATATAAATAAGAATATATATCATGTCTGCTTTTGGTTTCTTCTTCTTTAATATGATTTCTTGACCTAGAAATAAAGCAAAACTCCACAACTGCAACCGTAAGCTGTTTAAAATTAATTGCAATAAACCTTATCAATATAGTGTGACTTTTGGCTCTACGTCAAAATTGTTAAAAAAAAAATAATTCAGGTAGCACCCACTTGTTGGCTGATGATGAAATGCAGAACAATGTATACCATTAATTCAACAGATTTATTATATTACTTACTACTAGTTGCAGATAGAATGCAAAAGCTTTCTTTGGTCGGTCCCTTAATCATTTTTTAGACGGTTATCTCCCGTTCGTCACTATATGATCTTATTAAAAACCAAAGATGTAAGGATGCATCAAAATAATACTCATATTTATATTCCTTAAATCCACTTTTTGTCATTATAATTTCGTTTATCCTCTAAATTTTTTTATTACAAATTTAATCTTTTAATTTTCAAAATTAACACATATCCATCGTGTAAAAAAATGTCATTCAAAATTAAAAAAAAAAATGTTGATGTCACTTTAAGTGAAACTACCTATAAATCTTTTTTTTGGTATAACCACCCGGTATCCGAACCACAATGGGCCGACTAATCCGGATTCGGGGCGGGTCCAAGGATTACGGTATTTAAGCCCCTCTCAATCGCCGTTGTGGGGGATCGATCCGCAGACCTCCCTACCAAGTGCAGCCCCATGCTACCACTGCACCAACCAACGATTGGTAACTACTTATAAATCTTTAACTTCTTTGTAATGACCAGAATTACATTTTACTACGTATGTATTATGTTTCTTTTTTATTTCAATTAAAATTTATAATAAATTAAATTATATTTAATTTTTAATATTATTTTTTTATTTGATTAATTGACTACAAGTAGTATCATAGCTGTCAACATTTCATGTTTAATTTTTGAATGACATATTTTAATTTTGAAAATTATATAATAAAAAAATTTTGAGGAGTAAAATTATACATTCGCAAAATTATAATTCAGAAGTGAATTTAAGTCTATTTATATTATACTTGTAATGAGACAATATTTACCTCATTAGTTTGCATTTGGAAGAATAATATTGAATTATTAGAATTTATAAATAATTATTTTTTTAATATGTATAAAATTATTATTATTTATATAATATAGCAAAGAGGAAATATGTTTTTTTTATTCAATACTCACAATAATTTAGTAAATAATATTATTATTTTAATATGGGCACCTTTAGTTGAACTCTAATAAAAGTAAGGGTGAGCATCAGTTTGAGAATTGATCCAAAATCAGAAAAATCGAAGAAAAAAAAGGTAAATGGATGGATTTCAACGTGTTATAGATTTAGACAGATTAAAAAAATGACGTAAAATAATTAATTTTGGTTAGACTTGATTTAAGTTCAACTGTTGAAACAAAATAAAAAATAAATTAATTTTTATTCAGGTTAAAAAACTAAACTTATTTTAATTCATTTTTAATCTTTATTATTAACATACAAAAAGTTCTAGTCAATGATGTAATTTGTAACTTCCTTTTTTGTATCATATATTTAAAATATTATTATAATATTTAAATTGTTTGAAATTTGAATATTTTTATTTATTTTGAGTTTAAATGAATTAAATAATATTTGAATGGTTAAATATATAAAAAAAAAAATATAAGAATTAAAAAGAAGGAGAAAATAAATTGAATAGAATTTTTTTTTAAACTAATTAAATGATCTAGAGTCCAATTCAAGATATATGAATCCAACCCTTGAATACCCTTAAAAGAAAGCTTCAACCAGAAGCAGACCTTGTGAGCGTTGTTTTTATTTTTTATTTTTAATAACTTTTGTGAGCGTTGGCCGTGGGTTTGTCGGTAGTAATATTCTGAGTAGTTAATATTAATCTGTCAAAGTCGTTAATTCAGTTGGTGGTTAAATTACGGACTTCCACGTGAACGTTTGCGTTTGGGTCGAAGTCTTCAAATTTATTAGGCCTCCATTTGGGCCAGATATTGCTCCAAAACAATTACAAAATAAAAACCCCTTTTTCACTCTTCACACTCCCTATTCTTTTTTTTTAAGAAAAATTTCATATACCTAAAATACTCTTCATATTCACACTCTTTTAGCTTTTGTGATTTTTCTTTAAAAAATTTCATATATCCAAAATTGTTACCCTTCTCATTCCCTTTCACCTCATCTTCAAACATCCTCACCTTCATTTTTTTCACTTATTTTTTTTCCTTCGTATATTTCATTGTCTTCTCCTTATTACTTTTTTTTTTAAAGCATTTCATTTTTGGTGTTTTTCCGTGTGTCTTATTGATGCCATACAAATTATTTTTCATTTAATTTTTATCAAATTGGACGTGAAGTTTTTTTTTTTAGGGGAATTGGACGTGAAGTTAAAAAACGAAAACACAAATAAAAAAGATTGATTAAAACTCACATGCAGGAGTAAAGAATGAGTGAGAGTGTGAAGGAAGGAAAAGAACGAGCGGAAAATATGAGGACAAAGATGATTTATGTATTATATACAAATTCACCAATAATCATCATTAGAACTATCTAACATATTGAAGGACATTTTGTTTTGGTGATCACCATTGGAATATGCCAAACAAAAATGACTAATTGTAATATACTACAAATCCTATCATATAAGAGAAAAATAAATAAATATTAGACTCCACGTACCCCACATGATTTCTTAATTAACACTAAACCTGTAAAATAATTGTGTTATCATGAAAATTTGTTTAGCAATGAAGCCTTGATGAGTTAAGTTAAATTTGTTTTTGACTAAAAAATCATGGTGATTAGTTAATAAATAAAAGAGAAATATTAATAATACATTATTTAACATTTTTTTAATTATTTTAAATTTATTAAAAACATAAAATTTAGTGGCTTACACACTTTATTTAATGATTCTCTCTCCTCATTTTAAAAATTATACACTAAAATAAATTTTGATTCAAAGTATCATTTTTTTTATAACATTTGTTTTTTTATCAACCAAAATTAATTCATCTCACTAATAACTTGTTCTACAATACAAGGAATAAAACTCCAATAAGAATGTCAGCATAAAATTTAACTATCCTAACCATCTTATGAGTAGAGATGACAAAAATATTCGTACCAATAAGTACCTATAGGTAAAATTTGTCACAAATAATAAATGAATATTGTAAATAGATACTTGTGGATAACAGGTATGAGTATTTTTTATCCGTTTATAAACGAGACATGACGGATATGGTAATATCTATATTTGTAGGTACTCGCTAAATAATATTACTTAAATAATCATATTTTTATCTTATATTTTTTTACATTATTTTTAATATTTCAAAAAAAATTATAATATATCAATCATACATAATATATCAATGTTCATCATCATTTCAACTTCATAAGTAATAGCATGCCAATGCTTATTATCATCATCCTACATGCAACATGCAATAAATTAAACAATTTTATTCATGTTCACCAATCAATAATTAATTTCAAAATAATCCACGCCTAATGTCATTGAGGCATGGAGTCCTCTACCTCGCCCACACCCAATGCCACTCAAGTCATATCCAACGTGACTAAGGTAGGGAACCCATAGAACCTCACACTAGCATGACAAAATCCACTCTCGACCTCATATCAACCAAAGAACCTCTACTCGATTCATGCTCGATGTCACTCACCATCGCCCGATGTTGTTTAGGTAGAGAGTCTCTACCTTAATTACACTTTGATGGAGGACCATCCTTGGTACTTCACTTCATGTGTTGCTCTATTTTTCTCTTAGTTCTCTTTGATTGACCTACTCTATTTTATAACACGCGTCAAGAAAAGAAAAAGGTGAAAGATGAAATTGATATCATAATCTGTACAATATATATATATATATATATATACATTCAGTATTTTTGTATCCCAACAAAAAAAAGAGAAAAATAAGGGGAAAATAAGTTCCAATTGACACCATCTGAACAAAAGAAGAAAACAACCCAAACTAAGGGCATCAACAATGTTAAGCATAGACATCACTTGAGAGGGGAAAGGATCCCAAGCCACAATGCCTCTCAAACAAAGTATCCTTATTTTCCGACATCCCAAGGGCACAATTCATCAAAAACAAAACACTCCACCAACAAAGGAAATAGGATCACCAACCACCATCCTTCAGAAAACTCTTTCTTCCACCGACACAAGGGCATTTCTAACAAACCACATGTAAGCAATCAGGTTCAAGCATTAGTAGCCAGCCTGGAGAGACTAGCACAATAATACTCACCATAAGCAGCCAGCCTAGAGAGGCCAACACAACAATACTCACTATCAGCAGCCAATTTGGAGAGGCCGGCATAATGATACTCACCATCTCGACAGCCAGCCTAGGGAGGCCGACACAACAATACCTAACATCAAGATTGGTAAGGGTTTCTAGATCCCCAAAACTAGTACAAGATCGGTAAGGGTTACTAGATCTCCAAAAACTAGTACAAGATCGGTAAGGGTTACTAGATCCCCAAAAACTAGTACATGATCGGTAAGGGTTTCCAGATCCCCAAAACTAGTACAAGTTCGGTAAGGGTTGCTAAATCTCCAAAACTAGTACAAGATCGGTAAGGGTTGCTAGATCCCCAAAACTAGTACAAGATCGGTAAGGGTTGCTAGATTCCCAAAACTATTACAAGATCCGTAAGGGTTGCTAGATCCCCAAAACTAGTACAAGATCAGTAAAAGTTGTCGCAACCCAAAACTTTCTGATCTTGCGAC